ATCCTGGTCCAAAGCGCGTGGAGATCTTGGTTACAAGGACCTTAATTTGGAGGCTGGTGATTCGGAGGCAGGGACCATGGCTGCCTGCCCTGGGGGGGGACAGTGAGGCCCGGGGGTGACACCCCCTCGCCAGCTGTCCCCTCCAACGGAAAGCTAAGGGCTATTGGTCACTCGAATAAGGCTATGACAGAGGGACTGGGGACAGACAGGGGCTGTGAGGTGCTGAGGGTCCTTGTGCCAGCATCCGAGAAGGCAGGGCCCTGGGGCCGGGACAGACGGGAGAGCGAGACCAGGGACAGCCCAGCCGGCCAGGCTCAGGCCCCTTGCGCGTGGCTGGCGGACGAGGCAGGCAGCCCGGAGGTAAGGGGGGGCGCATCCTGGTCTGATGTCCCCGCCAGGGGTCACAGACGGGCGGGCACCGGGGCCGCCCAGCCAGCCTGGTCCCTTCCAAGTGACCAGCTCAGGGTCATCCCCTCTCGGGTGTTAGGAAGTCAGAAAAGTTTGGCCCCATGACCTATACGCAAAAAAATATATATACTGTCTCTTGCTCTCTCTATATATGCACATATATATATAGGGAAAGTCCTGATCTCTCTGGGGAAGCCGCCAAGCAGGGGTGCGGGGGAGCGCGAGGAAGCGTCCTCGAGTGCAGGGGGTGGCAGTGTATGAATTCTTTGGCCCCCACACAGGAGACCCTGTCCCCCTACCCAGGACAGACCACAGAGCTCCCCACTCGGTTCCGAGAAGCATTTCACATTTTGGGGGTGAACAGGGTGAGTGCCGAGAGGGAAAAGGGGGGCTGGTGTCCGAAGACGGCTGAGTTTACGGGAAAGTCCTGCATGGGGACAGCCTTCCTGGGTGGGAGCCCCTCACCTGGGGAGAAGCGATGGCCTTAGGGGCACAGGCGGAAGATGCCACCTCCCAGTGTCTGTGCCCTGGGCTAGGCTGGGGTCTGAGGGCCCAAGGACCTGCTATGTTTTTTAGAAAAGCAAAACCCCGGGGTTCCGAGGCCGACCCACCCAGCACTGAAGGGACTTCCGGTGCTAAACGGCTGCCCTGTCTTCTCTCGGTCCCTGGACCCTGTCCCTGAAGCTCCAGGAAGTAATTTCTGTCCCTCCCATGTCCCCACGTTTTTCCTTTTGTTTGTCGGAGGCCAAGTCCCCACGCAGGGGCACACAGTAGGGTCAGGAAGCCTCTGCTGGCAGAGAGGGAGAGGCAGACACACGCAGTGACCCGCGCTCAGACCCTAGCTGCGCACCTACCGCGCCGGCCCCGCCAGGCTCTGGTGTGACAGCAAAGGTGATGTTTTTAACTTACAAAAGAAACGTATAAATATCAAAAGGAATAAGCCGGAGCCCTTTCAGTGGCAGATTCTGGGCTCAGCCGGGAGAAGCCCCCTCTTTCCCGTGGGCTCCCCATGAACCCGTTTTACAGCTGGCATCCCTGGGACTGGGCATCAGGGTTACGATTCCAGTGGCCTCTTAGGGTTACTGCTCGGTCCCCAAAGGAACATGAGAAAGTTCTTTGTTCTGATGGCAAAATAAACTCGTAGGTTTTGCTTGTTCTCTTGGGGTTTTTTTGCACATTCGTTAGCAGGGTCAACCCAGTGGGGACGGATTATCCCAGAGGAAGTAGGGCCTGATGGGCACAGAAGAGGGGGACAGGAGGCCATCAAGGCGCTGTCCCCATCTCCTAGGCTCGAGCCCTGCTTCCAAGCTGAGCGGGGCATTTTGGGATCCAACCTGAGGGGCAGGGTCTGGGGTGCACATTTAACATTGCCGCCCTCTGGCTTAGGGGCTTTTCAATGGAGACAACAGAGTCACAGGACAGAAGAAGCCGCTCCCCAGTACACTTTCCACCCCAGGCCAAACCTGCCTTTTCCAGTGAACTCTTATTCATCCCTCAAAACCTTCTCCAGGAAGGATTTGCCTAGCCAACCTTGGTGGGCAACCCCAGCTCCTCCCCAGACTCCCCACCCCCATCCCGCCCTCTATTCCAGCCCCGACCAGTTATTGGGGGTGTCTTCATCCAGCTCCGTCCCTGCCAACCCAACCAAACCCAGGGAGGGTTTGGAAAAGAAGCGAGGGGTAGGGGTGGGGTTCGGACAAGACCGGGGCTGGGCGGGGCGTGGGGCCGCCTGGCGGCTCACCTGGGCCAGGCCCTCAGCCTCAGGGCGGCTGTGGGCACAGTCAGTAGGGGTGTCCCAGATCTTTGGGCCGCTTCAGCTGTACTTTGAGCCTCTTCATGCCGATCTGGAAGCCGTTCATGGCCTGGATGGCGGTCTGTGCGCTGGCTGGGTTGTCAAAGCTCACGAATCCTGCAGAGACCGGGGTGGACCGCGGTGGTGGGTGCCAGGGGTGTCCGCTGCTTGTGGGGTCCTGGGGGGGGGCAGGCGGACTTGCCAGAGGACACGCAGCGGCAGCCCTGGCTCTGTACTGATGCGGTTGGACTTGTATGCCGTTGGGGACAGGGAGCTCACTCTATCTGATCCGCGGAGACATAGTCTCCTCCCGCACAGGGACAGCTGGGGCCTCTGTCTAGTGGGAACTCTGCACAGCAAGGCCAGGGGAGCTCTGGGCGGATCTGGAGCTGGGAGCCAGGCCCCAGTGGCCTCCCGTACCTATTACCGTCTCTGACCACGCCCATTACATAACCAAGCAAACTGAGTCTCAGAGAAGACACTCGGCCCCTCGGAATCACACCTTCAAGAGGGGCCGGGTAAGTTTTCCTCTTCAAATTCCCCTATCTTTCTGGAAATAGGACACAGACGGGGGCCCGGGGCGCTACGCGTTGGATGAACGAGGGTAGGGGTGAATGAATCTGAAAGGCTGCGTGAGAACTGTGCGGTATACAGTAGGCGCTCGATATGTGCACATTCCGAGTGACTCACCGAAACACTTGCTCTGGTTGGTAGCCCGATCCATAAAGACCTTGGAGGAGATGATATTGCCGAAGGGCAGGAACATCTGGGTCAGCTCCGTGTCTCCAAACTCCTGGGGGAGGTGGTAGATAAACAGGTTACAGCCCTCGGGACCTGCAGGTGGGGAGAGAGAGACATAAAGCCCCCAAGGAGAGGAGCGGACCCCCAGGGGAGTGCAGTGCGGACCTCACCCCATCGATCGCCAGCTGAGGACCCCGGAAGGGACAGGAAGGGACAGGCAGGGACGTGGGCGGGGAGGAGGCGGGGCGTCATCCCTGCCTTCCCATCTAGTGTAAACCCAGGGCTGCTAATCCTCGGGCCCTGTGACCCACAAGACCCAGCAGCAACCCAGCTAAATCCTCTACCACACGCCTCGCATAATCCCAAACCCCCAGAAAAACCCATCTCTAAACCACACATTCCAGCTCATCTATAAAAGTCAGAGAAAGTACACGTGACGGATACAGAAACAGGTGTTGTCTTTGCATTCATTTCGTAAGTCTAGAACTGTTGTACAATAACACGATCACTCAAAGGATGTCCAGAGCTGGGCGTGGTGGCGCACGCCTGTGATCCCAGCACTCTGGAGGCTGAGGCAGGAGGATCTACACAAGTTTGAAGCCAGCCTCAACTATACAGCAAGATCTAGTCTCATCCCCATTTCCCCCAAAAGGAAAATCAGTTGAAGATAAAAATTAATGTTCCAGTCCTAAAGCCCAGGCACCCTGAAACCATAGGCAATTAAATAATGCTATAACAGACCATAAATAATTGTGGTTACATGTTTTTAGTGACGCAGTTTGTAATAGTTAAACCTTGGAAACAGCCCAAATGACCATCAGTTGATGATGAAAGAAAAATGATAAAGAAAATGCAGTTTCTTCATACAGTGAAGTACTACTCTGCCATAAAAGAAGGATAAGCTTGAGACATTTATAGTTCTAGTTATAGAACTTTGAGACCACACTTTTTTTTTTTTTCTGGTACCAGGGATTGAATTTAGGAACTTGCGCTTGCAAGGCAGGTGTGGTGCCACTGAGCTACATCCCCGGCCCAAGACACCATACTCTTGAGTGAAATAAATTGGACACACATTTTAAAATACTGCATTATTTCTCTGGGGTGAGAAACTGGAAGCAGAAATAAGGACTAAAATATATAATACATATTGGGAAATGGGAAAATGTTCAAATGGGAAGGGGAACAGGGGGGAGAAAGGAAGGAAAGGACAAGGAAAAATAGAAGGAAAAATGGAAAATAAAGCTTTTGTTTTGTTTTGTTTTTTTGTTTGTTTTTTTGAGACAGGGTCTCACTATGTAGTTGAGACTGCCCTGAAACTCACTATGGAGCCCAGGCGGGTCTCGAACTCCCAGCGATCCTCCTGCCTCAGCCTCCCGAGTGCTGGGATGACAGGAGTGCGCCACCCCGCCAGGCGAAAATAAAGCTTTTGTACATAGGGAGGGGAGAGGGCTTGAGGGGAGAGGGGATAGGAAAAGAGGCGGGCGTACCACAGGTGCCCGTCCCCCGTGATGAGTGTTACCGTTATGTACGCCTAAAATGCACCGATAAATGTTTTGTTATAAAAAATAAATAAGCCTGTATCAAGCAGGGAATAAACACTATAACTGGGAAGTCTAAAATAAATACATACACACATACATATGTCCATAAATGGTGGTTTAAAAAAAGGTCACACTCAATCCCCCAAACCATCTCCAATGCGTGGCTCATCTAAAAACTATAAATCAACCAATAACAGCATTTTAAAACCCTGATTATTCCAAGCCATAAACAGTCCCCACATCTGCAGCTGCCAATCTCTAAAGACCTCTAAAGACTGCCTTGATGCATGTGCCTCCAAAGAAGGGTAACCCCATTTTGACAATGAATGTGCCCCCCCAAAATACTGTGATCACACACACCCAGACCCAGACCTACCTTCCTATTCAGGAGCATAGAGCCTCCTCTGACACTTGCTTTTAAAATGCAGTTTTGTTGCAACACAACTCAAATCTCAGGACAGTTTTGAGTGCGTGGAGTTTTGCTTTAGTTTATGTGTTATTTTCTTCCTTGGGTTCCCCCCAAAAGCAACGCTGAGCGAAGACAGAAAACTACACCCAGCTAAACCTCCTAAGGAAAACAGATCGCACGCCTGCACCACATGTCACATGTCTACCTGAGATTGTTTGGTTTGGTTTTTTGAGACAGGGTCTGTCTATGTAGTCCAGGCTGGCCTTGAATTCACTGTGATCCTCCTGCCTTAGCCTCCTGAATGCTGGCATTACAGGCGTGCGCCACCATCCTTGGTGGGATATGGATTCCTTCAAAGTGTTATGATGCAGCCTCCTGGGGACACACTGACCCATGACAGAGATGCACGGCGTACCACAGCCCCCTTGGGTGAGGTGGTCTGGCTCCTCTGCCTGGCCCCTTCCCCCGTGACGCCGCACAGCCACACACAGGTGGATCAGAGCAAGCGACTCCCAGGGGCCAGGAAAAGCCACTGCTCACATCCCAGTAACACCTGCTGGCCCAGACTGACGTCCAGGCCGGGAGGGGGAAACTGAGGCATGGGGCAGTTGTATGACTGTCACAGTCAGGAGTGGGTGACTGTGAACCTCGCTTGTCAGAATCCAGGATCTCAGCCCTCCCTCCGCCCTTGGCTTTGCTGGGGAGGCCTCAGGTCCAGGAGACCACACCGCGCACACCTGTCCCAATTTCCACAAGCGTTTTCCCGCCAAAACTGCGGCGCAGAGACCCACGGGCTTGCGGGGAGGGCTGGAGGAAGCCACTGCTATCCGCACGGGGTCGGGGCGGGCATGGATCCCACCGTCGGGGGGAAACTGAGGCTCAGAAGGGCGACTGTGTGGCCCGAGGACACCGAGGGAACGGGCAGCTGCGCCGGGCCTGGTCCGAGAGCCCCGCCGGGCAAGGGTC